CCTAAATGGACAGACTGAAGTTTAACTAACTTGGTCTCATACAGTAAAGATGAGGTGTTCCCTTATTTTTCTTGAGCAGTTTATATTTATGTAAATGTGAAAGAAATCATATAGCTCATGCCATTGATAATACATTTCACCAAACTGATCCAAGTTGGTTAGGGATACGACTTTCTCTGCTCACACAGGGCAAAATAAATGAGTCTGTACATGAGGGTTTGCCCAACTGCCTGATTAACCCCAATGCACCTGTTCACAGTGCAAACCTGTAACCTGACCACCATGGAGATGTTAACGATTAAGAGCCTCAAACCGCAGTGTTTGCTCAAACGTTGGCAAAGTACCATGAGAGAAGTGTGCAAAGGGTTGCTCTGATCTGTTTGGCATGTTGACAGCTGGGCACAGATGTTGACAATCCTTGATCAACGCTGTGGTTTCCTTAACATGTGGCTTTGCCCTTCTTATTTGTTTCTATGTGTGGTTCCTGTAAACTGATGTGAAACCAGTGACCTACTGTTCAACCTGTGAACATTCAGGCTGAATAACAATTTACTCCTTGGCATAGTGGCTTTTTTTTTTCTAAAATGATTCACCTCCCACTCACATCAAGCTGTGATTATTACTTTGAACTATTTAGCTTAGAAAAATCAAACAACAGCTTTAAAGATCCACTGGTTTTTGCAGCAATGCAGGTGAGGTCTGTGGCACAGACGAATAGGATAATCCAGGACTGACAGATTTACAGACATTAACAGCGAGTGGATGCAAATCATTGTTGGTTTTAATCTCTGTGTAATATATTGTTAATATAGAAAGTGGCTGGCCTTGTCCTTTAAGGTGTGCACCAGCAGTGTTGCTTCAGCTAAGACGGCCTGTTGAATATCTGTACAGGCTGCATAACGTCTAGGTGGTCTAGGAGAAAAACCTACTGGCACATGAGGAAAACCGATGAACTTCGCCTGCCGAGATGAGGTTTAGGAGAGATGGACCCAAACTCGGTGTCCGAGCTGACAGACCCATGTAGAAAGACGAGCGCTCTTCTACTATTTTTATTAGGAAAATGAATCCGCATTTCAAAGCATTTCACCGTGTGACCAAACTAAAACAGGTCCGTGACACATTCTGGGTCACGACCCTAAGTTTGGGGAAGACAGTTACAGTGTAATCTGTTTCAGATTTTAGTTTTTATTTTCTTGTTTGACTTTGTGTAAATCTGATTATAAACCTACATTTTGCTCTCCACATTCTGCCTTTTAATGCACGGTGCGGTACGTTGTAGCATGCTACATTAGATACGCTTAATTTATTTCTAACACTAAATGCTATATTAATATTACATGTATGTGTTTAAAATATTATCATTAGCATTAACTGTAGTAGTAAATGGGTAAATTAACAATTTAAGCAGTAAGAGTAGGGCTGCACCCATTATTTTTATTACTGAATAATCTAATAAATGGCACCTTCAAACATCTTGTTTTGACCAACCATCGGTGCAAAACCAAATTATCTGGCATTAAAGACTAGTATTACGATCAGTATAACTTTTTTGCTGACACTGTTGTTACTTTTAAATTCTGTTTTACACAGGCCGTTGTACTAAACTGCATTAAACAGATATTCTGCCAATCTTATATCTGTAAACAGGGAGGACGTTAGAAACCTCTCTCGGTATAATGCTGTCCAGTACAACACCGCTTTAGCAAGAAACATAATTAAATGTATACAATTCCAAAAACATAAAAAACTAAGCATGATAAATTTAAGGCTGACTTTGTGACAGGGCTCTTGGATTGATTTCAACTTGCCTATACCTAATAAAGTGGCCACTGAGAGTAGCTGGCTTGTCCACACAGTGTACTTTTCCCAAAGTGAGTCCCTCTCACTGATACCAGTAAAGTATTACCTGTGGCGTTTGCATGTGTTTTACAAGGGGACATGCTGAAGGATGCGACATGTGCAAGCAGCAGTTAATTTTGTTATGCAGCTCCAAACAGCAGTTAAACTCCTTTTAATATTCCTGATTATTTATTTATGAATTTACCACTTAAATGCACAAGTGAAACCCTCCATGTTGTTTAAATAAAACAAAAAGGGAAAAATAAAGTTTGCAAATTACAAAAAATGTTTAAAAGCCTGTATAGTTTGTTGGACTTGGCAGATTTCAGCTGATCCAAGTTAGAAACAAGCCAAAGGAATGTTGTTGTTGTAAACACTGATGTTTAGAGGCACAGTGTGTAGGTAAAGGCATGCAGTTATAAATTAAAACAACTTCCTAGCAGGTTCAGCTCAGGATAGCTTCTTCAGGACTAAGCACCAGGTATAACAATGAGTTTTATCATCTGCAATCCCCATTACAAAGCAACTAGTCTGAGTTTCTTAAAGTCTGACTATACAATTCTGAAACAACACAATCTGAAGGTGTGAAGACAAAATGGCAGCAACTCTGGGTTTGTGCAGAGATGGTGAGAAAACCTGTATCGTATCTAGTGGCACAGGCGACAATATTCTTTTGAACTACTGAGCAGCTGCTTATTTTAACATCTCGAGGATGAACTGACTCACAAAATATTAATTTACAACTCAGTCTGTGATGTGTCGCAGCGCTCTTCTGCTGTTTGTGGGCTAAGGTGTTAGATGTGGCACAGTGAACCTGATAAGGCTGAGCGGGTGACAGAGATCTCAGTTTGGAGAAGTACTCAGAGGAAGTAGGGCTATGAAAATACCCGTTTCCTTGAAAGTGTAAAATACTGGCCAAGTCCTGTTGAAAGGTTGCAATATGAAAGCTAGTGATAAGATAGGAATCAGTATTAAAACTACAACTTCCTTTTTTAACCTAAATTAAAGAAATGTTTTTTTTGTTTTTTTTTAACTAAAGAAGCCAAAGTTCTCCAGTGTTGTCTAAACATGGGGAAATGTACAAGGACATTGCCTAAATTAAACATTTTAACTAAATAATAATAAAAACTGAAACGGTCTGATTAAAAAGATTATACATTTTTGCTACTTCAGTGCTACAGGACAAATGAAGTATTGATGTGTGGTCCTGTTAAGATCTAGGCATAAACACTATGACAAAATAATGTTGTGATGCTATTACAATCTGAACACTATGACAAAATAATGTTGTGATGCTATTACAATCTGTCTAAGGAAAGTGTCTTCCTCAGTATTTCACATATAAGCCAGAGCAGTCTGTAGTAGTTTATTGCACTGACTCTCCAAATCTCTGGACTCTACTGGAGGGAGGGACACCGTTCTCCCGACAGATTTAATAATGGTGGTGGAGACGCTGTCTAACACGTCACTCCAACATCTCCCATAGCTGTTCAACTGGGCTGAGACCTGGTGACTGGGAAGGCCACAGCATCTGATTCACACCATGATCATCCTCATCAGACCAGTCAGTGACCCCTGGTGCCCTGTGGACGGGGGCTCTGTCATCCTGGAGACCGCTCAGGTATTCAGGTTCTTCCTTTCACTTGTTACGTCTATATGTAGCACATTTGAAAATGCATAATAAAAAGTATGTCAGCATCAGTAATATCAAGTAAAGAACAGTTGTGACATGTCAAAAACCACAATATTTACAGCTCCTACAAGCAAAATACTCAAGCTCTCACATATACAGTGGTGGAAAACTGAAAATTTTATATTTCATTTGGGCATTTTGATGAAAAATAGCAGTTTATTTAAAAAACCTGCGACACCACATACCGGTTTGTCCTTCAGTCTACTCTGTCTGCTGCAGACAGCATCGCTGTGACATACGGTATGATATGGTATAGCCACGATATCATTTAGTTGCCACACATCCTTAACTGGCCCTTCCGAGTTCCAACAATGTCCCTAAATATATTTCAGTGTGCAGCAAAGCCTGAATGCCACAACACAGTTTCCTGTCTCCACGGGCTGAGTTGTACACAGAAGCCATTATAAAACCTCTGACATCCTGCACATTAAAATCCCCAAAAAACAGGAAGTTGTTGCTTTTTATACTTAGTGTGTGAGGCAAATGCACAGTCCTGTCAAATTTAAACTTACGCCACATTTCCCCCCAAAATTTGTGTAAATCAACAAAGATTGCACAAACTACAAGAGAGCGTAGGGAGTGTTTCTGTCACTGCAGCCTCACTGTGAGCGTGTTCTCTGAGATGTTGTTTATGTGTCTGAGGCACTTTGTTATTTCATGCTGCAACAGCTTCCTGATTTCAGCGCCGTCTGTGTGGGCTAAATGGAGGAAATCCTTCTAGTGTTTTCACTGACTATCTGCGGAAGAACGGTGAACTGGGCCGTGCCACCCCCTTCACCCACGTTACCACCAGTCCAAGAGATGCACAGTATCATGTTTATGTCAGCAGATACAGGACTGAGGACATGCTGAATCATCTGCAACCGATAAAACAAGGACTTTCGGATCTGCAAGAAACCGGTGTTTACTAAACCTTACTGCTGTAACAAACTTAGATGAATTTTTTTCCGTCAATCATCTATTTGACTGATTACTCTCTTTAGCTCTATAACTGATAAATTGTGATTTTAGTGTAATGACTAAAAAGTAAAATGCAGTCTCTAATTATATTGCGCAATGTTAGCAGAGCCCTTGTATTTATTCTCAGGCTAAATATAAATATTTTTGCTACTCAATCAACAGATAATTAACTGCCAATGTTTTGGTGACTGATGAAGCCTGAAATTCTCTGGCTGCAGCTTCTCCTTTGTAAGGAAGTGCTGTTTTCAGATATCTTTGGATTTTGGACACAGCCTCATATCTACGGATGCTGATAACTCTGGAAAAATGCTCTGGACAATTCTACTGTTTTTGACATTTTGTATAGTGTATTGCAAAATGTAAGAAAATGATCAACAGATTAATCAAGAATAAAAATAATTGTTGCACACCCCCCGCACTGTGTACCCTCCACCTGCAAGCATTAGTTCACAATTAGATTTTTACCCCTGCCCTCATCATTGTTCTATCACTCGGCCAGTTTATCAGAAATGTTTCACTTTCACCAGAGCATGAGCACTCACATGCATACTCAGTGAGCAGTGTGAGGGTTGGGCTTGTTGGCGTGCTCAGCTCTCAGTCCCTGGACTTAACCTCAGGCCACAGACCGGACTGGAGGTCTCTGCCACTCGCTCAGCGCCGTCTACCATGATCCTCTACCTGCTCTTCACTTTTCTTTTCCTTGGTATGTATCTGGCCTCACACACACACACACACACACACACACACACAACCTCTTCACTTTTATATGGGATCAGTGATGCTTTAGTCTTAGAATTTCCTGTTGTTTTTTTTTTTTCCACGAGTGTCCTTTGTTTGCCCTGTGCACATGACTGATGGGAAAAAAGGCAGAAGGCATCTTAGTTTTACTGGCAGCAAACAAAAGGCCGGTGTGAAAGTCTTTTAGGCTGTGCCGGAGTTGTTCATGTGATGTTGAAGAGCTTTGTTTGAATGCGTGTCCACAGGTGTTGTGGAGTCACAAAAAGCCAACCGAACTAAGGAAGAGCTGAGCAAAGCTGAGGGGAACCAAACGTTCAGCGTGTCCACGGAATATAACAGTGAGACCTTTTCCTTTATTAGAGCTACAATTAATGATTAGATTCATTGTCAATTTGCCAGTGTTTAAAGGCCTGTATCCCCGAGCCTGAAAGAGTCTCTTCAAGCTGCTTTTTCTCCTCAACAAACATTCCAAACTATTTTATCCATCATCATACAAGACAAAGAAAACCAGAAAATACAGAGGTGCAAACTGTGCAAGTCATTTTGCATCACTCAGATTTAAGCATTTTGATTCTAAAGTGAAACAAGTGTTTTTTTCCCTGTGGTAAAAGGACAAATATGACCCATTAATTTTGTTTAAGACTGCAGAAAACAAGTATTTATAGAATTTTTATAAATAATTAATTGATCAGTTGTTTTTCAAATTAGCTATTCGGACAATCCAGAAATTTTTGCTCCCCCCCACAAAATTTTTGTCTTAAAAAATGACTGAAAGGATTATTAAATGTTTCTCAATTATTAGAATAGTTGCTGGTTTTATTTATTTAATCTAACTTCATCCACACACAGGAAAAGAAAACTGCTGAATGCTACAGATTCTCTTAAGTCAGTAGTACGTGACTCTTTAGCCTGAATCTGAAAGTAGGAGTGGTTTTATGAAACCCATTGTGTCGATGTAAGATCATTTATTCACCAAACATGGAGAACTTTACTCAAATAAATTAAAGACATTTTGCCTTCAGGTACGATAGAAGCAGGCAATGTGACATCCAGATTGTACAACAACATAAAGAGTCACATCGACGATGAACTACAAAACAACCAAACATCCTTTCCCAAGGAGGACGATGGTGAGTTGTTCCGCTTATTCTGCACAAAGAGAGGAAATCCCCCCTCCTTATTAGTGCCTTTAAATTTCCTGTACTTAAGTTCTCATTACTGCATACAGCTGAAACACTGTGAAACTACAGTATGTGGTGTGTGTGTGTGTGTGTGTGTGTGCGTGTGTGTGTGTGTGTGTGAAGTGGCGAAATACAAAAACATGCACTACTGATACCGAATGAGTTCATAACTTCAGGAAATCAGAAAAAACAAAGAAGCCCTCTACTAAATAAAGCAGCGTATCACAGAAAATCTATGAAAAGGTCCAATTTTATGCAGCAGGAACCTTTGAGTAAGCAATTTAAAACTATAACCTTGGATGCTGTCCGATATTCACATGTGCCTGTTAGTTCATGTACATCAGAAGCATCTTGTCCTTACTCTGCAGAGAGTTTTCAGGACCAGGAAACGAACTACTCAGGGATACGGTGCAATGAGTACATGCAGGTGGAATTCAGCCGCAGCATCTGTGGTACACATTTCTCCAAGAAAATGATGGAAGTCAGCACAGAAAACTGGTGTGACCTGGAAAACATCATCAAGTAAGATGTACTGTGTATCTCTAGAATTACGTAGGTTTTTATATTTTTTTTTTTTTTTTGTCTCTACTTTTGATCATTTTTAATACTTTTATTTCCATCTGTTATACTTCCAGGAACTTTGTAAATACAGTTTTCAGAAACAACTAGTTATCATTAATATAAAGTTTTTTTTTATTATTATAAAAATTATAGCAGTAGTAATTATCTAACAAATCATCTCAGTTCAAGAAGCTGATGTTTTTTAGTTCCTTTGCATCCGTTTTCTCTGTGAGCTTTTACTAAAAGCTTGGCAGCTACAATAGATCCTTTTTACTCTGACTCAAGTTAATTCAGTTGTATTTATACACACCAGCTTACAAAGAAATAAATAAAATCACAACGTGCTTCGTTGGATTTCAAATCTTCTTACAGCCCCTTTTGACCACACGCTGACTAACACTTACCAGCTGTTATATCCCAGAGGGGCGCTGTTGCACTCATTTAAAGAAACTCAAAAAGCGAGATGATAATTCCTTCAATAACTCAGTTTTGATTCATAATGTAATCACTGCAGTGTACATTTCCAACACAAAACTGTACAAGGAATATACGCTACAATTTTAAACAACATAACATATATTCAATGTCTGAAAATGAGGCGGGAGAAGAAATAAGTTTATTTTACTTGCCGCCTTCTCAAAATAGCATACACCAAATGGTCTACTACATATGGTCTGCCAGTGGTTTTACCCAGACTTGAGTATATATGTAGCTTGATGAAAACATCAAAACACAGAACCAACAACAAAAGTCAAAACACAATGTATATTTAAATATGAGTAAAAATATTATTTGGTCTGTATAACTGAATCATTTAAAACTATTTCCCAGAGAATTGGACTCCACCCACTGAAAAACACATAAGCTTTAATTTAGTACAAGTTTTAGGATCAGATTTCCTTCTGTGACCCTTCACCTGATCTTATCACAAACAATCCCTGAAAATCTTCATTCAATCTCTTTTTGGCTCTAAACATAACTACCAAGTTGTTGTTTTCAACAAAATCTTTTGTTTTATTATTTTTGTCTTGATAATCACTATTTGCTCCTGTTTGTGAGCCATTTTAAAGATATTTTCAGTAAGAACCAATGCACTTGAGACTGAATGTCCCAGATGTGGTGGGAAAGTTGGAAAAAATAGATAAACAGTCTAAAGTTGTCAAAAAATGAGTAGGTGCGGATCCATGACAATTGCAAGTGGCACAGGGAAATGTCCATTATTAAGGCTGGGTGTGCCTCTCCCAGCCCACCCTTCCACAACTTCAATGATTTCTTCTCTGTTTGTGTTCAAACAGGAAATTGTTCAACCGCAACCATCTCAGTATTAGTCAGGGGCAGAGGCGCCACGCTGTTGTTTTTCACAGTCCAACTACAGGGTTTTATTTCAAAAGTAGGATATCAAGTTTCACAAGAACAGTGTCTTCTTATGAAGCGAGCATCAGTTCACTGTAGAATATAAAGAAAACAAACTTCTCTTTGTTCAAACAATCCCTTAAACCAATACTTTTTAAATTAAGCAGTCATTCTTGGACCTGGTTCTTCTCTTCTGAGTTCAGTCCCTGTTCATGCTTTTGTGGATACCTAAGCCTCCAGGCTCATTAATAACACAATATTTTCTTTATCTCTTATAGACCCTACCACGAGCTAACACTGTGCTTGGAGCAGCTGTCTGTTTTGGCTGGCTGCTATTACCCAAACTCCAATATCCAAGACTTCTTTCTCGTCATCCACTCCCACTACTTCCAGAACTGTACTGAGGAGCTGCTGCTGCTTGAGGATGCCCCTCACTCGCTGGTGATCACCCTCACACTCATCTCTGTGAGCCTCATCCCCATCCTGGTTTATGTGGTAGTTTGGAAAAGTAAGTTCCAAGAGTGAGTCTTGTTACACTTGCGCTATCATCCCACAACACTTCAAGTCGCTGTACATGTTATATATAAAAAACTGCTCCAGAAAGTGCTGCATATGCTTTTATTGTGTATGTCAGTTTGGTCGTAAACTAAAAGTTAAGTTATGAAGCTATGAAATAAGGACAAACACTAAGTCTAAATATGAGCTTATTGAAATTTCTTCACTTTTATAGATAAAACTTTAAAATGGCCATATAATGTTTGGTGTTTTGCTGCTGCTTCACAGTCCATAACTGTCTTTGACTCACAGACATCAGCAGATGCTTGGCACACTACATGGCCAAAAGTATGTGGACGCAATAACGTCACATCAGAATGTGATTGCTGATTATGTCATTTTAAAGCCAGAGATATTAATCTGGTGCTATAACACCCTTCCACCAATGTGGAAATGTCACTGGCCTGATCATCCACTGACATTGGCCAGTTCCATGTCATTACAAAGGTGCTGGCTGAGGTCAGAAATGGTTTTCCCACACCAAATGGGAAGCCCATTTCTTCATGGTTTTGGCTGGCTTTGTGCATAAGGGCATTGTCTTGATGCAACAGGGAAGTGCCAAACACTAAGCTGAGAGAACTCTGTTGTCTAAGATGCTTAGCACCGAGTCCTCCCTTTGTTAGACCTCAGGGACCTAAGCATGGGAACTCCCTAAAACACTGATAGTAGAGGACAAAATGAATATTGCCTGACTATAGTATGCTGTTTATACTATAGAGTACCACATCACTGGCAGATCAACTCCCTGAACTACCTGCTGTAATATATGAATTGCTATCTTCAGTAAATAAAGTTTGTAATGTGTTGTGTATTGATTTCACAGGCTAATATAGCTGTTTGCTAGGCTAACACTAACGGCACAGTCTTTTCAGGAATATAAAAGTTACATAACTGGAGATGGTTGAGGATGTTTTGTAATTAATGATGTCTTTTTGTTTGTATTAGAGGATTTGAATTCCCTTACATTTTAGATTGTTTCTTAAAACTTGTACTAGTTTTTTTTTTTTAATCTAGGCAGCAAATGTCAGATTTTTGCAGGCACCAGAAAGACAGATGGTGAGTGTGTAAGTGTACAGTGCAAACAAAAAGTGTGTTATCAAATCTGGGTTCCTGGGGTGGCAGAGTAAAATTTCTAAAACAAAGTACATTCACTTACATTTGCTGTGTGTGTTAACTTTGTGAGGACCAGAGTTTCAAACCTTAAATGTCAGGGCTCTTTTTAATATAAAGCAAACTGTCCTGTTTTGTGTTGGGATTAAAATGTGGTTTCAAGATTAATGCAAAATTTAGACTAGAGATTAGAGCGAGTGCTCACAATAATCTCATAATCTACTGTG